ATATACCAATTTAGTTCAAATAAAATACCAATAAATTCGATTAAAACAGTTAACAGCTGTATGTTATCTCTTTTTGCTACTAAAATTTAGAATCAACATGGCTAAAGCAAGCTGCAGAACGTACGTCTGCCCCGCAATGAACAGTTAGTTGCCTATCCTATATTGACAACAGGCGTTTATAGTAAAATCTACGTTACGCGCGGTCTAGTTATAACAAGTCTCTGTTTCTAATCATGTATAAAACATGTATGTACGTTTTTTACTGTATTAAAATATTTTGTCTTAAAACCCCGGAGTTCTTTTATAGATACCCTGTATATCAAGGTAGAGAAGTACAGTATTATTGCCTGAGCACCAAGATTACATCTCGAGGCGCTTGCGCCGAGGGGTGTAAGGTGCGAAGGGAATAATAGACTTCTCTGCCGTGGTATATATACTATTTTTTTCACTACTAGCACTTGAAGTCCTCTAAATTAACATATTATATTGATAAGAAAGTGAACGGTTGAACAGAATTTTTTGTTTCTTAATTTAACATGTGAAAAAAAAATAAACCCTCCCGTTACAAAGTCCTTAGCTCCTTTTTTAATTGTCTGTATGGTTATCCTATCATTTTAATAGAACTTTCCTCCAACCCACTTAGCATTTTCTTAGAATTCTCTTAATATTTTCGAAAACGTTCACATTGTTAGTTGCACTGGGTATTGCCTTCCACGAAATGACAATGTAGGTAACTTGCATTGCATCAGCATAACTATATAAAGGCCATCTTACATACATTCAAAATCCTCAGACACACCGTTCTGCAGATATTTGCACTGTACGCTTTAACAGCACCAATAGATAGGTCTCGTTCTGACGTTCCACTTGTCTTTTACCAGTACCCTCTTCCGACATTTCGTTGTCAAGGTCCTTGTTTCGACTTCACCAATAGATGTGTCCCGTCTAGTCGATTCATTTTGACTTTGAGAGTACTCTCCTCCGACAAAACCTTTTTGGAGATATTCGCTCTTAAAGTATTGACATCACCAATGGACATATATTCGAATCGCTCTTTGTGAGTACCCTCTTCCAATATCGTGTTCTGGAGATATAAGGGAATGTATCCTTTAATTGGTGTACCATGAAGGATAAAACCAGTTCCACTCCCTCTCTTGATAAGGGGCCAGAAAGAAGGGCGGTTGTTGGTAGAAAACGGATCCTTTCGTAGAGACCTTTAATTAGAATACCATAAAAGATGAAATTAATAGTTGGGACTACCACAGCTCCTCAGAAAATACTTAATGCCCCCCCCCTCCCTCATAAGGCAGCGAACAGAGGTATACACTATTGCAAAACGTTCCAGGACTCTAGGACTATTCCCCTAGAAGTAGTTCTAAACGACAGGGTCTGGACGGACGGACGGACAATTTTTTTAAATTTTTAAATAAATGATCTCAAAAATATAGACGCGCTCCCCATCCGTGGAGGGATGTACATTAAATAACTTTTCTTCCTGCGACCATCTAATCTACAAAGTTCAATAGGTCTCTACAACACTCGAGTAAAACCCCATTTAGCATCGTCCCTACTATTGATCATAAATAGGAGTAGAAGAGCATGGCCGGTTGCAGCACACTTTGACCTTGAGTTCTGCGCAGGTGCCAAGTTCAAGGTCATTTGAATCAATTCTCTTTTGTCGATATAACAGATCTGCTTAGCAGGTCGGTTTAATGAACCTAATTGTATTAAACGAGCCTATTTCTATAGAACAGAGCTGTGTCTAGACTAGACAGCATTTCTTGAATTTGGGGCATGACATAGTCCATGGGCGAGACCTTCTATCTTACGCATATATCGTTTTTTCTTATTTTTTGGCATTTATCTCTGCGATGCCCTACTTCTCCGCAGTTGAAGCATCGCTTCTTATGCATCTGTGACCTTCTTCCTGAATCTTCCAGCACGCCTTGCACTTACAGTTTTTGCTCAATCTGTAGGGAGCTACTCTCACCAAAATACGTAGAAGTGTGTGTAATTTTACCGCTGTCCTTTTATCTGCATAAATCCAGATTACTCTACTATGTCCTTCTGCCGCGTTTCAAGGGTTTGATTTCCACCTTTTCCGTTCCCTCCCTGCACCACCGCCTCTACATCTTTGTCTTGCATAATTAAGCAATGCCAATCTTTATCTTCAACTGGAATTTGTAATCGAAATAACTAACTCGCAGTTGTTCTAATTTTAAATGCCCTATTTTGGTAATACGCGTAACGGTCGATCTCGTAATTGAAATGTAAACCAGATTTTCTAAGGAAAACAGTATCGGCATTGACTGTTTCGAAGCCATAAATTCATTTCATGACCAAATACGCAGAATTTAGTTGTGCAACAAAAACACTATGGAAATAAAAACTTACGTTCGAGCGAGGCCAATCGTCTAATATGAGGTCGAAAGGATAGTAATCTTTAACTTGTAAAGAAAGCGTTCGGGTAGGTAGTTCAAGATATCCGTTGACAAAGGAAAGATGTAGAAAGCGCAAATTGCTTAGTAAAGTAAGGGTGCAATTTGGTCGTATAGTGAGTGGAGCGTTATTAAAAATGTACACAAAGTGGGAATTCACTATGGAAATACTGCACTACAGTGTAAATTCTTTTCAAATAGGACTAATTAACCTTAACCTTTATAATGATAATATAAATATAAATTTTCGCTGGGAAGGGTGATTCAGGGAGAGACATAATCAATCTAGACATTGCAATGGTACGTTGCACCTTATTGGGATTAATTTAAATTACGCCGTTCGGAATTATGCGTCCGGACGTTAATTATTGGTCATTGAATTTAAGTTGATAACATGTGAATTGCTAACGTAATTTTTATTAAATTTAACTGAAAAGATTAGATCTCCTTTCGCTTGCCTCTGTATATCTGAATCACAATACACTTGACTGCAACTGTTAGCGTGGCCTTCTGTAGTGTACTAAACCCCCAGGTTCTACGTTAACCTCACACTACAAGAACATGGAAATAAAGTCAACCCGGCAACGTTTAAAAAAATGGCCACCCGAATGACTATTTCCTCCAAAACTAAACAAGATCCCGCTTAAATTTGAAAAGTGGCACGTGATCAAACATCTAAAGAAGGGCCCCCTTATGTTAGTGGTAAATAGCGCTATGACCTGAAGCACAGTAGGGAAGGAACGTAAAATAAAACACTCAAATTGTGAAAAGTTTTAGGAAATTTAAGTCGAAATAAATTACATTGCAAAAATAAACTTTGAAAATGGTAGTTCACCGAATCAAAATAGAAATAGGCCATATCAAATTGTGTTGTAAAATTAATTGTTTGTAATGATGTGAATGCGTAACATAATATTATAACATCACAAATAGTAGCAGGTAAACTTCAAGAGGTAACAAATAGGTTAAACACAAGATTTGGGAATTATGGATCAGCAGGTAAGCAGGTACCAAGATTCTAAAAAAGCGTGAAATACAAAGGATGTGACTCATCCTTGGTGCAATAAAGTCCTTTAGCAAGTTGGAAAATTACATGGTCTTATAGGCAAATTTAACTAAAAACAAGATATGTGGAAATTACGAAACGTAACTCATTTATCGCACATAGATTCTAAACTATAGAGCTTTGATTAGCGTAATCCCGCTCCTGCAAGATAGGTAACCCGCCCCTGGTTTCGGGGTGTCGAACCTACAGTTGAAAGTTGAAGACAATCACGGAATTAGGTGTGTCGTAGCTTAATTTTGACTACAGTTTTTACGATCCCCGTGACTGGTTTATTCACTGAGAAAATGGTTAGTTACAAACCACAAGTCCGTACATACATCAAACGAATCGGTAATTTCCACATATTAAAATAAAATGATCAAAACCTATATGAATGTTACTTCAGGGACAAGACCAAGTAATCAACATCAATAAACATAAATTAAGCAAGCATTCCACCAAAAACGTAAACAATTATAAACAAAAGGATAACGGTATTAAACATTTCATTCTGCATTGCGGTTAAACCAAGTAAATTTCAAAAACAAAGATTGAAACATGCAAAAAGTATAAAATGCGGCATATTACACACAAATACGATATAATACCACCTGCATTAAATAACACAAAATAACAACAAACATTTATGGAGCGATGTGTCCACGACCGCCATTCAAGACAAGATGCCAAAAGTAACCCCCGTTCGTGCTTTTTAGATGGCGCAGGCAGCTTTTTCCCACCTAAAAATTACATGGTTGCCAACTCTCAAAAATGTATGTATCGTCGTAAGTTGTATATACACGGTGGAACCTTTCAAAGCAACAAATACTGTCAAATGCAGATGATTTTCCGTCATTTCCGTCCACATCTACCATCAAAATAACGTGTTACACTTATGTTTTTTGTTTTTCAAAATTACATACCAGACGTCGTCTTTTGTACCGTATAGCTCGGTGCCTCAGAGTAAGAAATAAAGATACCTTAAGCTCGGTGCGAGTAAAAAATAAAAAGAGAAAACCTTACATTAAAAGAACGGCAAGACTATTAAAGAGAGAAAAGGTTCTGTAAAGACATTTTTGTAGATCCTTCGAGGTTGTAATGGTTGGATGCGATCTTAAAGTGTAGTAGGAATTTTGGTCACGTACCTGTGATTTTTGCCCGCAGAATGATTATTAGCTATCTTCGTGGGCTTTCGGTATTTTGAAAGATTCGAGACATTCTTGTAGAGAATATAGCGACAAGATGGCGATTTTGTAATGTAATTGGCTCATGAAAGTTGTTGCTAATGTTAAATCGGTTAGAAATCGGGACATCCATTTGGTTGGTTTGCAGAAAACAGATTATTTTGTTATATGCGATATTTTCAATTAACTACATGCGAAATTAGATCACTCACTAGTAAGCCACTTCCGTGTCATTTTCACGACTAGTGGTGGAGCTGCAATCCAGTTCACTAGATCAGAGACTTTCATGAAGACCCAATTGGCACTGATATTGTTTCGTTAAAAAAAGTAGAGTATGAAGATAACATTTACGAATTACATGCAAATCACATATTACTCTAAACTACTAACTGCAAAACTGCTATTAATCTCTTTTCCGTTTACCTTGCCCCTTCGTTTTAGTAAATAGCCGACTGCACAATCTACGAAAAATGAATCGTAGCAAAAAGAATAGAAGTATAATAAATGCAAGCAAGAAAGCCACAATGTCCAAGAGAAAATACTGATAGTAAGGCACATTTACGGATCGACTTTTCATATGTTTTGCTCCTTTGTGCCTGATCACATACTCCGTCCACCAGACCGCCTGTTCCAAGGGGTCCATCGGCAAATCTTTTGCGACCTCCGTCATTTCTCGAATACTTTCCCGGTATCTAAAACGGCACTGTAAATCCATTTCGTACGAAAAAGGTTACAAGTACTTCGGGTTGTTGATTACTTCCAGAATGGCGGCTTTAAATTTTGGTTTGGTCAAAGTACTGTATTCGAAAGTGAGTCCGAAACCTTTATCTTCGACCTTTTTGCCATTAAAAGGTTGATCGCCCAGAAAAGGTATGACAATCATTGGAACGTTGTCGTAAATTCCCTCTTCCACAGATTGCAGGCCGCCTTGCGTTATGAAGAGTTTTATATTGGGATGTCCTGGAAGAAAGCGAGTGAAGCATCAAGACTTTGCTAAACGCACTTACTGAGAATGCTTTGTTGGGGCCACCATTTCGAAACGATCACATTGTTGGGTTTATTCCTCGCAATTTCAGAATCGATCTTCCACAGCACCAAGTAGGGAAGTTCTGCAAAGGTCTCGAGAAGAACGTTCTGGAAATCTTGCAAAAGAAGTTGGCTTTTCACGTTGGTGCCCAGGCTAAAATATATGAATCCCTGCACTGCTTTATCTAGGATCACTTGTAAGTGCTTTGGTAATGGTTTAACAGATGCGCGATGTAGCCCCCCTCCCATTTGAATAACCGATGGCATTATGGGTCTTACTTGGTGAAAGGTGGGGCTCGTGTTCATAAGCAGAATGCTCGTGTTTTTCGCCAATTCGCTGATCTCGGGGGAATCTTCGCCAAAGTGCTTGTTAATAACAGCTTGCTCGACCCCGTTTAGGTAAAAGTAGGTGTACATGTCCGTTGCAAATGAAAATAGCACACTGAACAGTCGCTCGAAGAATGTCAACTCATCTGAAAGTGGAAGGAAAAAATCCGGGTAGAGAACGGGATGATTAGGATTGCCCACCAATCTGTGTCTAAAGTTTGGTAGATCCATAGAGACCACGCCAATTAGGGGGCAGTTGAATTTGCGTGCGAACATTGACATAGACGGTAGAAAGAACTCCACGATCACCAGGTCGAAGTGAGCGTCCTCGTCTTTGAGCAACTTCTGCACATCGGGATGTGAAAGCTCTGCGTCTGCAACCTATCAGTCTTTTTTAGACGCAACCTCCTATTTCCACTCAACTCACCGTTATTAACGCGGTAAATGCGTAATGGTACAGTTGAAGCCCATTTAACGAACTCATAAAATTCGCAATTTTTGTGTTCCAAATCTCGTATACAAAGTGCAGATCGATCTCTGTCAAATTTACAAGCGAAGGGTCCCGGATGGGATCGGTTGTCAGTATGGTTACCTGGTGGCCGCGTAAAGACAACTCCCTCCAAAGAGGCTGGAAGACTACTTGGTGGCTGTACGACGGGCTGGGCATGACCCCTAAAATTTTGGCACCATCGCCGCACTGGGCCATCAAGAACAGCATAATAAACACTTTCATTTTTACCATTTCTTACTTTACAAGGCTAAAGGCCATGTGTTACACGCGCTGTTTCAGATTCTCTGCTTCTATTAATAGAATTATGTAAGTCACGAGATAGTGTCTACGTACAAAATAAAAAATATGCGGCAATCTAATCACATTGTTCACGCCAAGATTGGGAAAAAGGAAACGAACGTTAGTGAAATTCGGGCACACTGTCGCAACACAGTCGTTTACCTTCAAATTGGCTACCTACTTGTTTATTTCTCAAGCTTGTTATTTATATTAGGTACATTTGTTTATGTATATGTTACGCACAAATATCGAAAACGCTCAATGAACGAAAAGAACGCACATAACGCGTTATGGACGAAGCTAAATGACCAAACCACCAAATTAAATATTTTTCCGTGTTATTGTATATTGTAATACTGTTTAAATCTGTGGTAATACCAAGAAATGGCATTGCCGTTTTAATGGTGGATTCCCGTGTGGTTAGGCACCCATCGGGCGCGTCCCCGGGTGGCGGATAGGGGAAAGCCCATACAGACACTTGAATGATCGTACGTGACTCGTGCTTCGGTGTGGGTAGTGACGATTATAAGTGGCTCGTCGGGGCTAAAACCCAGACTGGTAGCGACGAAGGTCGTCGCCGCGGACCAACCTCCCAAGTCAAGGTGTTAGCGACCGTGCCGAGGACTGCGTGGCACTGGGGTGCAGTGTCGATAACGGTGCCCCTCGGATACCGGGCGACCTCCGAGTGGTGGCTCCTTTCCTTCGGGAAGGGGCTGGCAGCCAAGCCCTGGGCAAGCGGCTCTGCCCAGGTGAGACCGCATTTCCGCACTACTCGTGGGAATTGTATGGAATCTTCTAACAAAACCTTTCTGGGCTCCTCGTCAGAGGGGACCAACAAGCCGGGCCCTCAAAAGGGGTCCGGTAACGGGGCAGGCTCCTCGATAGAGGGGACGGCTCCAACGCAGGGCCTTACCCAAGGACCTGGTGGTGGGTCAGCTCCTATTCGCAAGAAGAATAGGACTGGCGCACAGAAGGCGATGGCCAGGAAGCGCCGGCTCGAGGGTAAAACCTCGGGTCAAGCGGGCCCTGCGCCAAAGCCTAAGGCTGCGTCTGGGTCGTTGGCTCAGGGGGGCAACCCGACGTCAGGGACTAAGCGTCTCAGATCAGAGGGAAGCACTCCAGGGTCTGGCTCAAGGCAGCCTGAGAAGAAGCCTAGAGGTTCTGATGCACCCAAGGGTGCACCACGAACTTATGGGCAAGTCGCTGCGGCAGGGCTTAAGGTGGCCGTCGTTCCGGTTTCATACCCGGAGGTGGACATCTCTGAGGCTCAGTCGAGGTGCATTATGGCTGCATTGAATGCAGTCGTAGACCAGATGGAGGGAGGGCCCTTTCCTCGGCTGGCAGGGTTCCGCTGGAATCCGCAGGGTGCCATCGTGGCCGAATGCGAGGACCAGTGGACCTTGGACTGGTTGGAGAGGACCGTCCCTCTTATCCGGCCCTGGGATGGCGCGTCGCTGAAAGTTCAGAGGCACGTCCCGAGGGTAACCAAGGTGATGGCTGTGTTGTACGGGCTCCCGGATGACACGGACACCATTTTGAAGCGCCTCCTGGTTTCAGGACGAGTCTATGGAGGACGTTCTTTCGCAGGGAGGAGCCTGGTAGGATTCTCCTCGCATTTGGTGTCGATGAGACGTCCTATCAGGTACTCCAGCGACAGAACTTCCAGGTGCACGCGGGGGTCTCGCGCGTCACTTTTGTGACGAAGGCGGGTGCTCCGGCTGCGCAAGGTAAGGGAGAGAGCTCCACCGAAGCAGCGGGACCTAGTTCCGTTGCGACGGAGGGGGCCCAACCTCGCAGTGTTGATCTCGAAGAGGCGGCGGGATTGCTCCCGGCGCCCGAAGAGATCGAGAAAGATGTCAGCGAGCTTTTGGCTCGTGTGGCGGTTCTTGGCTCCGACCAGGGGTCGGAACCGTCGGCATCGCTAACGGAGGAGGGAACCTAGTACATCAGTGATGGACAAAGTAACCTTCTTACAGAGCAATCAACATTCAGCAACATCCTTGCGGAAATTACAGACGCCATGGTGGAATATTTACTTCCAGAGTGGATTGTATTTCCTCAAACAGATGCAAAAATGAACGAATTAAAAGAAAGGTGTTCAAAAAAATTATTCTGGTTTATTGAAGTACTTGAAAATTGACATGTAGGTTTATGGAACAATTTCAATTCCCCGGCATTATTGGTGCAATTGATTGCACTCATGTGGCAATTAAAGCACCTCCACAAGATCACCCAGTCAATCCCGGTTTAGCATATTACAATCGTAAAGGTTATTATAGCATTAATGTTCAGTTGGTAAGTGTATTGTACATGTCTGAGGTAAAGGTAGGTACCTACATACATTTACAATAATTTTTAGATATGCGATGCAAATTTACGAGTATTAAACTGTAATGCTCGTTTTCCTGGCGCAGTGCACGATTCTGCTATCTGGTCTTTAAGCCAAGTAAGGCATTATTTGCAACGCATGTATAGTCAGGGGCAACTGCAATCTACATGGTTAATCGGTAGATGTGTGATTGTTAAGAATAGAAGTGTTACCAACATTTAATTACTTTTAGGTGACTCTGGATATCCATTAGAACCCTGGTTACTAACACCTACAAGGGCATCGAAAATTATCCTTTCAGCTGTAATCTTGCACAACCTGGCACTAAATGATAGACTACCGGATAGTGCCGTGGACGATGACCATTTAGATGAACCACTGGTAATACAACAAGAACAACGTGTTCAAAATGTTATTAATGGTATAGCAATATTTCATTTATAATATTTCATTCATCTGTCTTGTTAACAGAACCTGTATTAAATGAAGCACGACGCATACGCAATAGGGTTATACAGCAATACTTTCGATAAACTTTGGGAGACGAGAAGAATTATCCCATTTTTCTCTAACATTAAACATAAGTATTTCGTTTCACAAATTAACCAACAGTATCATTTGTTATTTATTATTGTTGAAAATATAATACATCATAACGACATTGAAAAACAGTGTGTAGCGTAGCTATGGTAAATGTTGTAGTTACTCTAATAATTGAGAATTTTTCTTGTTAGAAACTTCACTGTCGTTACATATTACTATCTTTAATATATGTATCTTTAATAACTCTGCGTGATTATTACAACAATTATGAATGTTTAATGTTTAATTTATTCAAATAAAATTGATCGTAAATTATAAAAAAAAACAGTAATACAATAAATACTACAATTTAATGTATTACATAAATTAATATGTTAAAATTAATAATTATTATTACTATTAGTACATTAAATTATTATATAAAGTAATATGTTACAAAGTGTCAAAGTTTTCAAACGACCCGAACAACTTGTAATACTCTAACTTAGACGTTTATTGTCGATTTAATTTTTTTGTTTCAAAGCATCGGCATGCGCTTGAATAGCGTTGGCGACTAAGGTAATGGCATCCGCTGCATGTTTTCCATTGTTGGAAATTTGCTCCTGGGCATTGCAAAATGATTCGCAAGCATTTGCCAATAAAGCATTGGTATATCTTGCGGGTGTTGGTTCAGACCGTTTACCTATAATTGAATATACATTCATCAAGGTTAAAGTTACATGTTGTTACGTTCACTTCGGGCCAACGTGACAAAATTACCTTAGATAAGCACACGGTAAGCTCAGGCAAAGTAGAGGTGGGTCGGGGTGAAAATGGGGTTCTTCGATACACACGCAAATAAGCCAAAAAGGGAAGGAAACAGTAAAAGTAATCCGGATAGGCGCCACTTAGTCTTTGATGAATTTAGAGAGAGAGGAATACTAAAGGGATGAACAAGGCAGACCAAGAGATCGTTGTTCTCGTCTTACTAAACTCAAAGGAATACACAATTATGGGGAAAACAAACAGTATTTGATGTATAAATGCGGGTAGTTTAATAACAAAGATCTCAAAATATCACAAATCTGACACTGTAATATATCGATCTAGTATATCAAACTGGGAATTCAACATAATCTCTAATAAAACAAATGAGAAGCCAACACGTAGCCTGGGAAAATATTTATCCAAAAGGCTTCCGCAGAAACAACGGAGCTATAATCATTAAGTGACTTTCAAACAAAGTAATAATCACAACTCGTTAGTATCAAAAACCAAAATGTAATCAAACGTTAAAAGGGAAAAACGACGAAAATAACTAAATTTACCTTGAACTCCGGACTCCGGTCGCAACCTTCCGAGCTCAGAGGACGCGAAACTGCAAAGCTGAAACAGTCAGACACAAAAACAAAAAAAATATAAGAAGGGTAGTGATTCGCGTTGCACAATATATCGCATAAGCAATGGTTAACGTAAGACACGAAGGGTTATTCTTATACGTAGAATTGCAATCAATACTAAAAAGTCGTCCGAACATTGATTCCATACAGACGTGCGGCGGTCTGCTCTCTGGAAAATCAAATAATCGGAACGCGCTGACCCCAGAGGTCAAGAAATTTAGTATTGTGCTTATCCACCTTATCATTAAACCGTAAGTTTACTTTAATTTTAAATCTAAATTTAAAATAAACTAAACCAAGCCATTCAATGGAACATTATGTTCCCTACTCAAACGGGTAATCCAAATGCCACTCATGGATATGTAACTAATCTACCTGGCAATCAATACCAGCCACGGCAAAGTAGTCAGCAAATCTCCCAATCGCAATTATCATTCCCAACCCCCACACCTAGTCAACCTTTCGTAAGTTCTAATAATACTCCATTATCTAATTATGATCACAACGTGCCAACCCAACACTCATTTCAAGTAACAAATGAGGTATCTAATATGCAACATTCCGATAATGAAATACCAGACAGTGCACACCCCTGGCAAGTTATTAAGAAAAGAAGAAGACTGAACAGATCAACGGAAAGTATAGTAATAGACCAACCATCTATCAGCACCAAAAATAGATATGATCCCATAGCGAGTTCATCTAATCAAGACTCAAATCAAACGCAACTAGATAACAATGGCAACACTAGAAAAATGCCAAAACCACCCCAATATATATTTATGGCGTTACAAATCATGGCGGCATGATGGAACATATTGCAGAAGTAGCAGCAAGTGAACAATACTATACTAAAACGCTAGGAAACAACACAGTCAAAATTAATGCGCACACATCAGACACATACAGACAAATTATCAGACACTTAAAAGATGGTAATGTAATTCATCATACATACCAACCTAAGGAAGAGCGAGCTTACCGAGTAGTCATCAGATATATTCATCACTCAATACCTATCAATGATATTAAAGACGAACTAGAAAAAGCCGGTCACCAAATACGAAATATTATGAACATAAGGCATAAGATAACCAAAGAACCATTGTCACTTTTCTACGTTGATCTTGAACCGAGTGAAAATAACAAGAGAATATTTGAGATAGAATTTCTATGCAACAGTAAAATCAAGGTAGAACCACCACACAAGAAAACAGGAGTCGTACAATGTACAAGGTGTCAGCAATACGGCCATTCCAGGACCTACTGTACTAGGCAATATATGTGTGTAAAATGCGGGAACCAACATGATACCAAAACCTGCACAAAACCTAAAACTGCGCCAGCTAAGTGTGCCTTGTGTGAGGGTAATCATCCCGCAAATTATAGGGGCTGTTCTGTGTATCAAGAACTAATAAATGCAAGAAATAAAACATTTAATAGACTAATCCCCAATACAAAACTTAGTCAGACACCAACTACGATTCCAACACCGAATATTTTGCCCAATAATGAGAAATCACAAAACTGCACTCCAACATATGCCCAAATTACCCAATCTCATTTTAACACACACAACATCAATGAACAAGCCAACTCAGGGGGAGAGCTTACTGCTTTTCTAAACGAATTTAAGAATATGTTTGCGCAACTGATGAACCAAAATAACATCATGCTCAATCTACTGTCTACCCTAGTCACAAAAATAAACTGTTAATGGCCAGTATAGTAAGAATAGCTACTTGGAACGCAAATGGTCTTTTAAACCACAAGCAGGAGTTAATAAGTTTCCTAAATATTAATAAAATAGACATTATACTAATTTCAGAAACCCATTTTACGGATAAAACAGTGCTACGTATCCCAAATTACACCATTTACAATACAACTCATCCAGATGGTACTGCTCACGCAGGAGCTGCAGTAATCATCAAAAATTCTATATCGCACCATGAGCTAAGGTCATTCCAAACTGAAAAAATACAAGCGGCAAATGTTAAAGTAATGGCATTTCCTTGGTCATTTACAGTGTCCGCAATATACTCCCCCCCTAGACATAAGATCTCTACGGATGATTATATACAATTCTTTGATACTCTGGGAAACAAATTCATCTGTGGAGGAGATTGGAACGCCAAACACATCCACTGGGGCTCCAGACTCGTCACAACAAAAGGTAGAAACCTACTCAAAGCAATAATGACAAATAATTATAACTACCACAGTACTAGAGAACCGACATATTGGCCTACAGACTTAAATAAGATCCCTGATCTGCTAGATTTTTACATTTCTCATGGGATAGCCACAAACTCAGTCCTGATTGAAACCAATAATGATTTATCATCAGATCACGTCCCAGTAATACTAAACTTAAGCAGTAGAATCATCAATAAAGAACTGACTCCAAGACTTGTATCAAAGCAAACCGACTGGGTTAAATTCCAACAATATATTGAGGAAAAAATCGATCTCAAACATCGTATAAAACAACCAGAAGACTTAGATCGATCAGTTCAATACCTGGTTACTCTTAGGTATTCAAGAAGCGGCATGGGAAGCTACGACTAAAGTAACAGAACCTGATCATCATACAAAAAACGTCCCTTTCTATATAAAGGAACTAATTGCTGAGAAAAGACGAGCTAGGGCGAAATGGCAAAGATCTCGAAATGCTACTGACAAATTAAACTACAACAGGCTGACTCGACGTCTCCGTACAGTCTTACTGGATTGTCAAAATGCCAAATTTAATTACTATCTCAAAAATCTTAAACAAGAAGATCATACCATCTGGAGGGCAACCAAAGGATTCAAGAGACCACAAGTCGGTATACCACCCATCAGAAAAACTAATGGAGACTGGGCAAGATCTAACAAGGAAAAATCTAACACCTTTGCTGAGCACCTATCTAAGGTATTCCAACCCTTGGAAGCAAACATAGCTGACGAAACTATTGAGGAATATCTGGACATTCCCTGCCAAATGTCCCTACCTATCAAACCTATCTCGCCAGCAGAGATTCGGTCCGAAATGAAAAAGTTAAATGACAATAAAGCACCAGGTTATGACCTAATAACAGGACAAGTTCTGAAAATGCTCCCAGTAAAGGCTATCGTGTTATTGGCAACTATATACAACCGCATGTTAAGTATGTCCTACTACCCCATCTTATGGAAATATGCGCAAATAATAATGATTCCCAAACCCGGGAAAGCGCCAGAAAACGTTACATCATACAGACCGATTAGTCTTCTACCATTGCTAGGAAAAATTTTTGAGAAACTTCTCTTTAAAAGGATAATGAACAATACGAATATATATTATCTCAACTGCCCCTGCACCAATTCGAATTTCGAGAAGGCCACTCAACAACACAACAAGTACACCGAATAGTAAACGAAATATCAAGGAGCCTTGAGGAAAAGAGATACTGTACAGCCGTGTTCCTGGACGTTGCCCAGGCGTTTGATAAAGTCTGGCACACTGGCTTACTACATAAATTAAAAAGGTCCCTTCCAAGCTATTATTACCTTCTCATTAAATCTTACCTTTCTGACAGATTCTTCTCAGTAAAGTATAACAACGAACACTCCAACTACCATCCTATAAAATCTGATGTCCCACAAGGCAGTGTCCTTGGTCCCCTACTTTACCTAATTTAGACTGCTGACATACCCGAAGCTGCAAGCACTGTCATCGCTACTTTCGCTGACGATACGGCAATTCTTTCTACGCACGATAACGCAATACTGGCATCTGAAAACCTCCAAACCCACCTAAACCTTATAAATGAATGGCTCTGTAAATGGCGCATAAAAATTAACCAAACTAAATCCGTACAAGTGACGTTTACTACGCGGTTCAACGTGTGTCCAACAGTTACCTTAAATGGCGTTCCAATACCTGTCACGACCGAAACCAAATACCTTGGCCTGCACCTAGACCAACGACTAACGTGGAAAAAGCACATCCAAACTAAACGTCAACAACTAAATCTGAAATTTCGCCAAATGTATTGGCTGTTTGGACCACAGTCCAAACTGTCCTTGTCCAATAAGCTACTACTCTACAAAACAATGTTGAAACCAATTTGGACATATGGAGTGCAACTCTGGGGATGTGCCAAACCCACTAGGATTAAGACAATACAACAGTTCCAGTCCAAAACCCTCCGCGCTATGGTGAACGCACCATGGTATGTCTCAAACGAAACCCTACACCAGGATCTGGGCATTTTATTCGTCACTAACGAAATTCAAAGGCACGCCCAAAATTACCACGTCAGACTCCAGGGCCACAACAATGATCTAGTACATCAACTGTCCGCTGCCCACCCCCCTTCTAGAAGATTAAATAGGATCTGGCCTCATGACCTGCAAGCACCCTAATCTGAAAGGACGACTATAGGAGTACTGCTAATGAGTGGTTCCTCCCTACAACGCTCATATAAGTCGACACATTTACTTAATACTCCCTGTAGAGTAGATTGTAAATTTACTGTTAATAAAAAAAAAAAAAAAAAAAAATACTAAAAAGAATCAAAAATTCAAATGACTTTACAACAAAACAAAATTTGGTTCGACTAAGGGTTGGTTTTCACAATCGGTATGAGAAATAAAAAAGTGACATAAAGTTTTAAGAGAAAAATACTAAAAAAAGGTACAAATGAAATAACTGAATCTATCTTCAATGACACAGCAATCTTATCAATTCAAAAGGAATTATACGAGCAAGTTCTTCAAAGTAAAATACATAACGTTAATTCAAAAAAAGTTTACACAGTACCAACTCCACACGTCTCGTTAATTTAGTACTTGCGTTTCGGAGGAATGAATCGTAGGTCAACGAACTTCGTAAAATTGGGTCAGCAGTTCAAATATCGGTTTCACATGAAATGGCGGTGATTCTTCAGTCAATTCTTCAGTCGGTAAGGGTAGAAATATGTAGAGCGGTTTTGATTGTAATGGCGTCGAAACTTCAATGGAATTCTATTGCACCATATGGAAAATCGTCATAGATAACATACCGCAAAACGGCCTTAAACTTGTAAGATAAATCCGCAGCAATGCGTCATCAGCGAAATTGGAAGTAAGATGATAAGAGAAAACTTCACTAATCTTAGTACAACACCACTAATTAAATCCCAATAAAGGTAGACGAATATGTCAAGTAAGTGTAATGGCGTGTAGTTCAAATACAAGTCAAGATCGAATCGAGTTCTTCAACAAGGACTGCGCGCGTCGACAGTGAGTGGGAGAAGATAACCGCGCCAATCAACAGAAAACTAGACAAAAGGTTTTTTAAAAGAAAACTATATCGCAAATAAAGGATCGGGTTATAATGTGAACACCTAGATGGGGTAAGGATTGCTATATAAAGGTAAGAGTTCGCATAATGTTATTCGAGAAGGATTCCACATAGTAATTCAAATGTAAGCCAAAGCAAAGATTACACGGTAAAGAAAATAACGTCACAATGTATAGCACCCTTAGATATGCTGAACGTGCACTTTTTTGTGTCGAAGTTGATGGTTGACTCATTGAGTCCTGATCAGTCGGTATTTCATTAGCGTCTTCGAATACAGATGTGATGGCTATAAAGTCGAAAATTATGGTGAGAAGTAATTAACATGAATTACATATATCTTTATATATGTCACAATTATTACCATTGGTATTAATATCATTCGAGGTGAAAGTACAAATTTCATTCTCCTGTGCGTCAACATTTCTTCAGTATCTATAATATAATCGTGGTAATTATATAAATTAACATAATCAATTAAATTGGGTGTTTTATCAGAATGACCATTACAACACATACTTTGGAGCTTTAACGTTTACTTTTACAAACTTTAATAAACAAAAATTAAGCACTTACTGATTGGGTTATTCCCTAATATGTCTAGAATCATTGTATCCCCTAAATGAATTTTTGTGAGAATTGTGAAATTTCCATTTCCATTTCGGAGGCCCCAGAAGTCCATTTTGCCCACTTTAAATCCAAGATGTTGAAATCGCTACCGATGCAACAATATGTTAGTGAATTTAAATTTTGTCCGACTTGTATTGCAATTTGACAAAGACATAACGTCACTAAAGATAATTTGAGTGCGACCGGATCGCAAATTATAGATCTGGACGGAGTTTTCCTTACCTTGAAGACGATTACCGTTGGACTGTTTCCGAATGAATTCTGGATCATTCCCACAATTATGTTCTATTAAGTAATGTAGAATCAAATACTATTAATATATTAAAGGGATAACGATTGGCTCCTATGACCCACTGGATTATAGTTGGCATACAAATATAGCTAAAGTGGGTTTTGATTAAGAAACACCAAAATTTTCTCATGGTACAGCATACGTACGATATAAATTAAACGTATGTTAATTGAAGTAATTAATATCTACATGTAATAACTACTCGGAAGAGGTTTTGTTTCAAGTTTCCAGGAATTATTATTAATTTTCTAATTAAAACCTTTATCACTGTATTACATTATATTGATACTTATATTTACAATAATTAGAGCCGCATCATAGTTAATTATAAAAAGATTGTCTACACGTTGGTGTATTGTCTAAGCAACAAATTTTCATCGCTATCAAAATTTTGAAATTAAATTAACAACGACAGCGACAGTGACAGCGGCAGCAACAGTGACAGCGATCGCGACAGCGACAGCGACAACGACAACGTCAACGACAACGACAACGACAACGATAAATTAAACAAACTTGAAAAAATACTATTTCCTCCTCCTCCTCTAACACTGAAATTGCACACGTTTTATCCGACCTCTATTTCCATTTTGATCCACTACCTTTCTAATTGGGAATTCTGAAAGTACGGTTGATAGATTTGGAACTTTCCGTCTGAAAATTTCAACTTCATCGCGCGGTGGTCTTGACGATCGCTCCTTTTATAGCTAGGGCACTCCTATCCCCGAGTCTCACAGGGGAAGGATTTTCGGCATGCACCTCTTTCCACCGGTCGAAAACCATCTCTTTCCTTCTCTCGATCTACAGTCCCATTTTTTCCACATTAACCACCGGTTGCATATAGGGTTCGCCGTTTTTAAAAGAAACGTGCGCCAGTATTATATCGTTCCCGAAATCGATAATCAATATCTAAGTGACCTTGGAACATGCTCATCTAATCAATGAAAAGAAATATGCCCTCGGCGATAACCTAGCCGCAGATCTCAAGACTGACTCATGCCCGATAAACAATATCTTGTAATGATCCTAGGAGTCTATTAAGCCGGCACTCAAAACGTTGACTTACCCTATACTTACCGTTGGCAACTCTGGGAAAAACTACAAACAGAGCCACCTACCTTTCAAGTCGAAACGATGAACGTTTCGCGGCACTTTTGAATTTGGATGTCAGTCGGCTCGATATGGGTCGGCTCCTACGTTGTTCAATCGGATCTTGTACGTGTTGGGACGTGAGACATAATCGGGAAGGGAATTAAATAAAAGACAGAACTTTTGTGCGTAGGAAATGGCAAGAACAAATAAATATATTACGCACACAACAAGACCATACCAGGGAAACCTTCTACGGGACAAAAACCCCGACATAGGCCACACAAATACATGAAATAAATCACCTACAGCAACGAAATGCAAGAGAAAGTACACATAAATAAAGCATCTCGAATTGTATGATAAATCCCAGGTAATCGAATCAAATGCAATTAAACAAGTTCATAAAAACAAAATACACAAGACATCATAAAAATGTAGTGGAAAACATGATAAATCAATTCAGTACGAAAACACATCAAAATACCTGTACGATCAAATGAGATAACACAACTCGTAAAATAATAAATTGCATGTACATAGGAAACATCAAAATGGTGTGGCTTTACTCCAGCCTTCATTAACATACTTTTATTTAACACGAAAAGTACATGTGAGAATGCCAATAGCAAGTATTCATGTGGAAGTCGATCATCGCTCAAGCAAAACATATTTTAAATAGAGGAAATGTTAATGAGAGGGCCCCTAAATATCTCGCATTGCTGAGATGCTAAGAACCAGGCGCGGATTTAAAGGGGGGCGCAGGGGGCGTTCGCCCCCCCCCCCCAAGACATTTCTGGACAGTGTTACCACATTGGAAGATGGGCTACGTTTTATGCCATTTTTGATTTTTTGCGATAAAAAATTCAGTTCTGCAACATGCGACATTTTAGGCTACTAAGTAATTAGTAAATGTCAAATCCCATCCAAGACAGGATTTTTCAACAATAACGATTTATGATGCTTGCTAGGTATTTGCGGTACCGACCTATTTATGCAAATTCATTTATGTTCCTAGATTAACAGAATCTCTAATACCTAGATACATTTTCTTTAAATTTCTATAAATCCGTGTATTTTATGGCAGGTAGGTACTAAGGTAAAGGATTAGTCTGTTAGTATTAGAAGAAAGGATGGATGACACGCTGCTTTGATCTCAAAGCACAGAAACCGAAGTGCAATATAATTTACAACTGTTGTGAATTCCTAAAAGGATTTTGGGCGGTTATTATCATTTTTAGGGAAGGACTTTTTCACAAATGTTTACGTTTTGCGAATTTAAAAATTGTATGCGCCCCTCCCTAGACCAAATCCTAAATCCGCCACTGCTAAGAACTGCAATCCGCACGAGACGAGCAGGTAACAGATACAGCGAACGGTCGAACTGTATTAGGTACCTACTCCACGGAGACAGAATGAAACATTAAATAAGAGAGCCCCCCTTCGTATAGCTAACGCACAAGAACTGCAGCGCGCCACGAATAAGAAAGTAACAGATACCGCGAACAATCAAACTGTATTTGGTACTTCCCTCACCGGATAGTTACGAATCAATCGAACAGAGCAACATTGCACTGATAATCAACTCCCGTGAATACAGAAATAAATACTTAATAAAACAAAATAATGGCATAATCAACTGTACAGTATAACAAACACGATTCATCTAACGGTTACGAAAATCCTCTAGTATTCGGCATCTGCGCAAAACGGTCGATTTGTTATATACAGAGCACATTTTTGTTTCAGATGTAAAGGTGTGTTGCCTAACCATAAGGGTGGATTATCACAATCTCACTCCCCGAAATCGAAATCTTTAGTTTAGGAAAGAATCACGTCACCTTTATTTATGCATGATAAGTTATGACTATTTCACCTTCACTTCCACTCTCTATTTCACCTTCAAGTTTGGTCTACGATTAATTTTCAGTGACTTTGAGTTGAATGAACCCACGTCTACGACCTTCAGTACCGCCCAGATCAGGAACGAACCCCACCGCTTTTTGTGACATTGAATTCAGAAATGAACCCCAGCGCCTTTAGTGGGTTTTTAGTTTAGACTACAACCACGATGACCTTCAGTGACATTAGTTCAGTCATGAACCCTGGTTAGTTTTGACAACAACCACGATGACCGTCAGTGAGTTTTTAGTTTAGGTAACAACCACGATGACCTTCAGTGACATTAGTTCAGGTAAGAATCCTAGTTAGTTTTGACAGCAACTACAATGATCTTCTGTGACATTCACTTTTAGTTTGGACCACAACCACGATATTGAATCACTTGAAGCACAGAGGTCAGGTGAGGTCAAAGTGAACCAAAATCGGTGTTACTTATCCACTACAGGTAAATAGTTGTTTGGAAAAGTAATTATTTAAACGCGAAATTCGAGTGTATGATAAAACTGTTTCGTCGCAAGATGGCACTCTATTTTATTTAGCTTTAAGCGTGTTTAAGAGCGTTTCTCAATTTATACAACAAATTCGAAATTACACTTACGACTATCAAATAAATTCACACTTCCTCCAACGAATAAGAGGCCTGAGTGGTAAACCAGATCAATCAATCATTCAGACCTGTGGTTGAGTGTTGGAATTGTCTCAAAAAAAGCCATAATTTTAATAGATGTACGGAACCATGGCGAAAGTTTTGTTTCCGTTGCGGAGAAAGAAATGTAACAAAATGCGCATATAAAAAATGTTCGGGAAACGAAAGTGCAGGACGATTGGCCCCCGGGACGTCGTTCTCCGTAATTAATAACAAACACCCCTGGGATGGAACATGGAAAACGCGGTTAGAAGCGAGGGATACAAAAAATACCTTAGTAGATACGGGTGCCGGCCGAACTATTATTAAGGAGAACATGTGGGCTGTATTGAAATCATAACGGTAGCGCGTGGGAAGGAATGCGAGGTAAAGGGTACAGTAGACATACCTTTCACTGTTAAGAATTAAGGGCATACTATATTGGAAACGTTGAAGGTCTTTGCACAAATTTAATTTGAAGGGTAGATTTTTGCAAAAAAATGAACTTCGCAATATTTAAAAAAAGGACTTTTATGCCCAGGATACAAAATTAGAAACACCAGCGGTTCGTGCATAAGAGGTTCTCCAAAAGATTGATAGCGCAGATTATGCGCCCATATTATCCACTGTCACCGTACATTCAAGAAGTGATGAATACGGAACTCAACAAGATGACCGAGTTAGGAGTAGTTGCAAAATCACTTTGGTCGTAGCTTTGGCCAAAAAGTTAAACGGGAAAACGCGATTTTGTGTTACAGAAAAAGATGCATACCCACTACCATACATTTCGGGTATGTATATTAGATAGACTGTCTTCTTTAGACCTTAAAAGCGCAATGATGTGGTCAATTATTTCATTTTTTTTAAGTGACATACGTGAATGATCCATTGCCAGTCCACGTCAGTGTAAACCTTGTATGTTATATTTTTAATTTGAATGCGAAGTAAATTGTAAAATTATGAGGTAATTTAAATCAGGTTGCAAAGTATAAATTGTAACGCAAACGTCCGCCGATGAAAACTCTTAAGATGTCCGTCGTCCCGAAACTGATCACTAAAGATTTCCTGCAAGCTGCCTTGTGCGCGTATCGAAAGGAAGATGTACGGGTTCTAGATTTTTCCCTCAGCGATGGCATTAGCGGGGCAAAATATTTTTGCAGCAATATGTCGAGCATCGCGATTACGTACTGCACATCTCGCAGCGAACGAGAATGTAAGATGAAGGTGATTGCGAAATGTTTGCCCGACGACGAGAAGATGTTGCAATTACTAACGAATGCTAATGCGTTTCCATGCGAGATGTCCGTATATAGCCGCATTCTTCCAGCTATGTACGACCTAGGTGAGTCTCCAAATATGCTCATCCTTTAATTCTCTTAGATTTTCGAGAGAAGGTCGCACCAGTCGCCATCCGCGTCGAGTCCAAGGAAACTCCCATTTTGCTTTTGGAAGATGTAACAGCTTTGGGTTATAGAATGGCGAAATGCGAGGGGGGCTTCGATTTGGAACACTCCTTGCTTGTAATAGAAAAGTTGGCTTACTTTCATGCGGCATCCGTGGCAGTTAATGAAGGGGTACGTAACTGTTTGCACAACCGTCAGTGACAAGTTTTTCCAGGAGCCTGGCATACTTCAATCATACACTGGAATGTACGCAGATGAAAGTACTTTCGATATGAGCCTCAAGGCTTGTAAACCATCACTAGTAGAGGTGTGTCAAAAAACCCCAGGTTGGCGATTTCAATTAGACCGGCCGAAATGACAGAGTTTCTTTTAGAATTGGTCAAGTACGTCAATAAAGTATCGAATTGTGCGATGTTAACATATTCCGCAGTGGTGAAACCGTCGAAACACCTTAACGTTTTAAATCATGGCGACGCGTGGACTAATAACATGATGTTCCGTTATGATACCCAAGGGAAATTGGCAGATGTGATCATGGTCAGCTTCTCTGACTCTTTTTCGTTGGGTTATGTGTCAATTGCAGGTAGACTATCAGTATGCCGGATACGGCAGTCCCGCTGTAGATCTGAGCTATTTTTGGATAACTAGTACCAGCCTTGAGGTGAAACGTAAAGGTTACGAATTCATTTTGGCCCACTACCACAAGGAGCTCAGCAAAAAAATGTCAAAGCTACGCCTGCGCACTGATACGCCAACTTTAGAAGACATTAAAGACGATTTCGTTTCCCATGCAGCTTATGGCAAGAACTGAACTGCAATGTAGAAACAATCTAATTTTATAATTTAGGTTTTATGACATTGTTGTTCATACTGCCACTGTTAGCCGAAAAGAAGGGACCAAATGAGACGTTTGTTGAATATCTCACCGATGACCAAAAGGATGGTTATCGATATCGGTGTTTTAACAGTGCAAAACATGTCGAGACGCTGAAGGTTCTTCTCCCCGTTTTCGACGAAATAGGACTATTCGACTGAAGTGACGATAAAATGTTCTTGCATAAGCACCCTATTGTATTGATAGTATTCTTTTAGAAATACAGAGTTTAACCAACCACAATATTTCTTTCTACAAGCTTATATTTACAAAATGGATACAAGACTGAAGCTTAATTTTTTATTGACAGTTTTTGACATACATATACTAACTCGATAATTTACATTCTCCCACAATTGACACCGCAGGTTTCAATTCACGTTCAACTTCTATCTGCGTTACTGTTAACAATGACGTCATCAATGTAGTCCTCGAAGGGTTCACTTCCAAGGGGTACAGATTTTGAATAGGTTTTGTTTGTAGTCCTACTTCTGTTTTCACTTTGACTACTCGAACAATTATTCCATCTTTACCGGGGATCAATTCCATAACACGACCTAACGGCCAAAATACACGTTTCTTCCGGTCATCTCGAACAAGTACAATTTCATTTAATTCCAGCTTACGAGATGGCTTCTGATTTATTCTACTTATGAGCTGGGACAAATATTCCTTTCGAAAACGTTGTCGTAACTCATCTCTCAGTTTCTTCATGTACTTCCATTGATAATTTAGATTTTCAGAATACATATCTCCTTCCGGGAACTTAAGTCCACATTCGTTTGACATAAACATGGAGGGAGTAGTTAGGGGTTCTAATTCGTCGTTATCTTCACTAACATACGTTAGCGGTCTCCCGTTGATCACCTCTTCCATAATAAGCAATGAATCCGCTAATTCCTTTCTATTGAGAGTAGACTTTCCAATAGATCGTTTCATCATATCTTTCAGGATCCGGCCGGATGATACGCTCCCAATATCCACCCCACCACGGAGCGGCAGCAACATTGAATTTCCACTGAATTTTTTCTAAAAAAGTATCTTTTCCAAGGCTCCGTTAACTTAGCACCACCATTTCAAATTGTTGACTAAAGACAGATTGCGCTAGAATCTCTATGGCTAGCGCCAGCTAGCGCCACTTTGAGTTCAGCTAGCGCCATTATAGATTTTGCAGAAAAGCCCTTGACTTTCGGGGGGTGCTATGTTAACGCTAGCACCACCATTGCGTCCGATCATTTCCAAAAGCAAGCGCTGTGTTCGTCAGACCTAGCGCCAGCTAGCGCCACAAATTTTAGAGCTAGCGCCACCCCCCAATAGTGCAGGGGGCAATTTTTCCTAGCACCACCATTTTGTTTTTTCGGGTAAAATTTTGACGTTTTGTGTTTTGCTGACCTAGCGCCAGCTAGCGCCACAAATTTTAGAGCTGTCATCACCCTCCAATGGTGTGGGGGGAGGGGGCACCACCATTTTGTCTTTTCGGGTAAAAATTTGATGTTTTCTGTTCTGTAGACCTAGCGCTCAAGTTATCCTAGCGCAATTATAAATTTTGCAAAAAGCCTTTAACTTTTGGGGGTGGTTTATTAGCCTCTAACACCACCATTGTGTTCGATGACTACCAAAAGCAAGCGCTGCGCTGTGTTCTTTAAACGTAGCGCAGAGCTGGCGCCCAATCCCCAACATTGTGGGGGTTCTTTTTTTTTATAATACCACCGGTTTGTTTTTTCGTGTACAATTTTGCTATTTTGTGTTTTGCTGACATCTCCCAGATAGAGTCAAAATCTTAAGAGTAGGCGCCACACCCAAGTAGTCTGGACAGTTTTTCCTAGCTTTATGACTTGGCACCACTGAAATATTTTGGATTAATTTTCTAGTAAAACGAGTGGTGTGGTAGCTGAATCTGCGGCAAGTATTAAAATAAGGAAATACAGTTCAATTATTATAGAACAGAACCATATTTTTATACCTTTCGCAGTAGAGACATTGGGACCTTGGTGTAGAGAAGCTCGAAAATTTTGTGGAATACCTGGGAAAACGCATTACCAATATTACTGGGGAACCCCGAGCTACCACTTCCTTACGACAAATTTAAGTATTGTCATACAACGTGCAGGTAACGCGGTCAGTCAGTGTAATGGGGACCACGATCCCCATGGAAGAAAATTATCATTTATTAACGAGCTCCTAGCGAGTTTATAATTTTGCGGTATCTGTCCGTCTGTCCGCCCGTTAGCACGATATCTCGATAACGAATGGAGCGATTACGATAAAATTTTGTAGGTGGATTCTTCACGAGATTCTTTATCAAATTTGTAGATCGGAGTTCGTGAACTGGCAATGTAACCCAAAAAATAAGGAAGGCCCTTTTGACATCTCCGTGAGTTATGAACCGAATTGCATGAAATTCAATATGCGTATAGCTTTAGCCATATAAAACGCAATTCCAAAAATTGAGCCTAATCGATCAACATTCACAATGCTCTTTTCGCATTTCGACCATTTATAAACCGAATTGCAAACTTTTTTATTTATGAAGGATTTAAATGAAATTTGATACATAACCACTTGGAATAAAAGCAAATACAAAGCGATCAAAAATGAGTGACCGTCGAGTCACCTTTGGAAATTTTGTTTACAAGGGAAATCGTACTTAACTTGTACTTCCAAAGGCGACTCGACAGTCACTCATTTTTGATCGCCCGATATAACGCTAGTTTCAAAATTTGATTTTGCGCATGCGCAGTGCCAACTTTCTTATTTATGGAGGCATTCAAATGAAATTTGAAACATAACCACTTAGAATAAAAGTAAATGTTGGAAAATTAGTAGTTGTGATAAGTTTTTTTTAAATATTTAAATAACTATACTATTTAGCGCAAAATAAAATAAATAATCTACAGTAAATTGCGAACAAAAATGGCCTCATATATAATCTTGCTAAATTGAACCATTCCAGAGTTACGGAGGGTGTAACAGTAGAAATTTTTCATCTTTTTTTTTAGATTCTTTTGAAAAAAATATGAGATTTTCACTAAGGAAACTATTTTTTTTGTTAAAACCGGTTAAAACAAATTGCGCTTTTGTGACCGGTGGTATGTTACTGATAAGTCCTTGAAGGAACGATAACCTTACCACCTTCTCAAGGGGGGCCATTTTTTCAAGAGACTTCCACTATGAGGGACAGTAATCCCTGGGGAGTTGCAGGATGTGTTGTTATTGCTCTCAGGTGTTCGACAATTTTGCATGCCCACTTCATCGGGTTCTTCTTCTCATGCAGCCATTGCTGCACCTGATGGTAAGTTCTAAATGAATGTTCTACCTGGTAGCTGCTGAAGTGGGGAGAAGCGCAGCCAACTTGAACAGTGAATTTATAGGATGCTTTGAAATAACTTGCAAGTAACACGGGTAACGAAAACAAGCCAGATCTTCAGTGTTCTTTACTTCAAACATGATTTCATTTTTCCAGAAAATCGAAAAAATACGAAAAATGCCTACTTTTACACCCTCCGTAACTCTGGAATCGTTGACTTGAGCAAGATTATACACAAGACAATTTTTATTCATAATTTAATGTAGATTATTTTGGATATGGTACTTTTCTCGCCAAACCCCATAGTTTTCTAAATATTTAAGAAAAACACCAAAAACTACTAATTTACCAACTGGTGTAACTTTTTACCAAACAATATGTGGACTGTATAGAACAATTTGCAGTTAATGGGAAACTTTTACTTTTGATGTTTAGGTTAAGCCGTATTGTCGACTAATTGCACCGTAATTTTTAATTTTAAAATTTCCATATTAGGTACTGTTTCTTGTGAAATTTTTCTGTTTTGTGCTCTACTCACTAAACAATTCTTTTTGTAAGTCACAGTATTAATTTCACTACCACAGTATTGCGAGCTAAATCGTTTAGAACACAGCGCAGTGCAAAATTTGAAAATTTCAACGAACGTACCTACTCATAGCCTATATAAAGTTGTTAAATCAATCAGCATATTTGTTAATTCTGCTAAAAAACAAAGAAGCAGTTCTTATAGACGGACAGACACCGCAAAATTATAAACTCGCTAGGATTTATAATTGCGCTAGGTTAACTTGAGCGCTAGGTCTACAGAACAGAAAACATCAAATTTTTACCCGAAAAGACAAAATGGTGGTACCCCCTCCCCCCACACTATTGGAGGGTGATGGCAGCTCTAAAATTTGTGGCGTTAGCTGGCGCTAGGTCAGTAAAACACAAAACGTCAAAATTTTACCCGAAAAAACAAAATGGTGGTGCTAGGAAAAAATGCCCCCCGCACTATTGGGGGGTGGCGCTAGCTCTAAAATTTGTGGCGCTAGCTGGCGCTAGCTCTGACGAACACAGCGCTTGCTTTTGGAAATGATCGGACGCAATGGTGGTGCTAGCGTTAACATAGCACCCCCCGAAAATCAAGGGCTTTTCTGCAAAATCTATAATGGCGCTAGCTGAACTCAAAGTGGCGCTAGCTGGCGCTAGCCATAGAGATTCTAGCGCAATCTGTCTTTAGTCAAAAATTTGAAATGGTGGTGCTAAGTTAACGGAGCCCTTTTCCAATAACTTTCCAATCCAATGATTTAAAGAAGTTATACTGCATCCTTAAAAGTTAGTTCCGTTGTCACTCATCACAAGTCTTGGTCTTCCTTCTAATCTAATAAACTGTTTGAAAGCTCCAATGAAGGCTTCCGTAGACAATGAATTGACAACTTCTAATCTGACAGCTCGAAACACTGCACAAGTGAATATGATGATCCATACTTTCTTTTGATTTTTTAGATATAAGGGGCCTGTTGCATCCACTCCAACTATTTCAAATACTTTATTAGCTTCTAGTCGTTCCAAGGGTAGAGGTGAGGGTAACACAGTAAAATTTTTAGCAGCAACTTTTCTACATTTTACACATCTGAAAATAACAGATTGTACCGTTCGTCGTGCTTTGATGACCCAATATTTTTCTCTCAATTTAGTCATCACAATTCCGACTCCAGCGTGGTATAACTTCTTATGTACATCAAAAATCAACTGTTGAACTAATGGATTTTTTCCATGAAGAATGGCAGGGAACTTGAAACTTTCTACTTCTTCCAATAAAACAATCTTAGTTTTAACTCTCATAATCCCAAATTGGTCTACACAAATATCGAGTCTACGTAGGGTTTTCTCATCCAACGGATGATCATCTTGAATATATTTAATTAAGATCATTTCTCCTTTCTCTAGCTCTTCAAATGTCAATTCACCATCCACTTTAGGTTTATTCCTTGCTTTTTTTAGCAAATTACCAATGAAGCGATATACCCATCCAAATATCTTGACATGTGTCATAAAAGTATAAGATCCCTTAGCCCCAGTTGCACCAACAAAATTAAGCCTTGCTTAAAGTTAAGTCGAACTTAAAATCTATGGCAACGATTATTAAGACAATCGTTGCTATGGTATTTAAGTTATGCTTATCTTTAAGGGATACTTAATTTTGACGGTGCAATTGGCCCTTAGTACAATTTTGCACAGTCAATGATATACTGACTTCTACATTTTCTGCCTTTTTCAATTCAGAATTTACTAAATCTTCTGCAACTTCTTCATTAGACCTAGGCCAGCTGTCACTTGAACTTTTTAACCACTCCGGTCCCTCCCACCATCTTTTCTCTAAAAGATGAGTCGGTAAGCAGCCTTTTGAAGGTAAGTCAGCTGGGTTCATGTTTCCGGGAACATGACGCCACTGTGTAGGATCAGTCAAATGTCGGATTTCTTTCACTCTGTTCCCAATGTATTGACCCCACATGTTGTCTTTCCTTATCCAGGCTAATGCAGTACTTGAATCAGACCAAAAAATAGTAAATATATCCTCAGCTTTTAATCCTTTTTTCACAGAAACAGCCAATCTTGTACCAATTAAGCAGCCTTGGAATTGTTATCCTCTTAATCGGGGCAACTCGAGACTTAGCAGAAATCAGTTGTATTGAAACTCCTCCCACATGTTCCACGCGGAGAAAAATCACAGCACCATACGCCAAACCACTTGCATCCGTAAAAACGTGAAATGGCCATTTACTTCGATCAAATTCACCTCCAGTTACACATCTAGGAATTCTGACTTGACTTAACAAATGTAGTTGTTCATACCATTCCGTAAATTTATTTTTCTCTTCGGTTGGGACAGGTTCCTTCCAATTCAATTTGTTAATGAATGTCTTCTGAAGTAAGACTTTCACTGGGAGCACAGCTGGACAGACAATACCAATAGGATCAAAAACTTGATGGGCAATAGACAGCATAACTTTCTTTGTGATAATTTCAGGTAAGGTAGGGAGTTTCACATCAACATACAATTCGTCACAAACTCGATCCCACTGCATTCCTAGTACTGATATCACATGACTATTCTTGTCTTCCATCTCATCTACATTTGACATCCAAAGTCCATTCCAGCTTCAGCTAACAATTGAACTGATTTTGTTCGAAAATTCTTGTACTCCTCCACGGTATTTTCAGAACTGACACAGTTGTCCACGTATAAAGAATTATACAGTTTCTGGGCAATGTCTTTGTTTTCATTCTGAACATTTACCAAATGAAATTCTAAGACTGCTCCAAGGATAAAGGGACTACAATTCGTACCAAACATGACACGTTTGTGACGGTATTCTACTACGTGTTGTTTGGATTTATCTTTCCACCAAAGAAATCTCATACAATCTCTATCTTGTTCATTCACTTCAATCATCTGGATAGCTTTGCGAATATCAGAAACAAATCCCACTTTCTTTTCTCGAAACAGTAACAACATATCAGGAATCATTTTGATAAAGTTATTTCCTTTCTTAAGACACTCGTTCAATGAAGGTCCTTTTCCAACCTTACATGAGGCATCAAAAACAGGTCTAACCGGGGTAGTAGAACTGCTCAGTTTGATCACTGCTCGATGGGAAACATAGTGAACCTTTTCTTTCTTGTCACAGACAATAGGGTTGATTTCTTCGATAAAGTCTTCGTCTTTCCATAGTTGAAACAATTTAGCATATTCTTCAAACAGTTTATTTTCTTCCAAACGTTTAGTAGCATGATTTAAGCGTAACCTTGCAACTTCATAATTTGTAGGTAGTGGTGGGTGGTCATCTATCCAAGGAAGGGATACAACATATCTCCCATCTGCATTCCTTGTCAAACAGTTAAAGAACTTTTGCTTATCTTCTTGTTCTTGCTGTTCCACAGATATCACATCAGTTTCATCTCGAATTCCAAGTAGATCGAGATCCCAAAGCTGTGAAACCGATGCATCTTGAATAACCATAGACAGGATACACATTGATAAATTATTATCATCTCTTTCACCCATCCTCCCACATAACGTCCAACCTAACTTCGTTTCAATTGCTGTGACTTCATTGGAAAGTGTTATTTTGTTTCCCGTCAGAAGTCTCCCATAAACGTCAACACCAAGTAAGATTTCAATTGGAGGACATCCATCTCCCACATCTGACAACTTTATTTTTTTCCTGTTCAACTCTTTAACTACAATAGAGTTACTTGAAACACGTGGAATAAAGTTGCAGATCTTTTCTTCGTCACGTACTCCAATGATACATGAATATTCTTTTCCACCAATCTTGTCCAATGTCACATGATGTATATTGTGAGTAATTACTTTCGTCTGAGTGCCTCCAAAGAGTGAATGAGTAATTTTGTTTGTTCCTTTTACTTCTAGTTCTAGATCCTTAGCAGTTGATTTCAAAATGTAGGATCCTTGGGAGCCGTTGTCTAAGAATATTCTCACTGTCTTCTCCTTAGTTCCACATCTTGCTCGAACTATAAGTGTCTGTAGATCTATTTCTTTGCTACAAATCTGATTCACACATCCGGTCATATTTTCGGCAGTGGCAGATGTAGTATAATCTGTAACTTTATTCCCTTTTGATTTATCAGCAAGGTTAGAACACATGACAGGATAATGTTTTCCGCCACAAATGAAACAGTTGAGATTCTTCTTATTCTTGCAAAATTTAGCCGGGTGTCCACTCTTGAAGCATGAAGAACAAACTTGTTTTTCTTTTAGTACATCTCTTTTCTTCTCAAGTGGCCATTTCTTAGCATTACTACATTCTTTGCTTCCATGACTCTTCCCACAAAATAAACAAGATTGATCTCCATCATGACAAGAAGCTAAGGTTGGGGTAGGTTGAGATAATTTGTTTTTAGCTTGAACATTTGCTTTCTTTGGCTTGATCTCCATTCCAAATCCTTTTCGAGCCAAACTAATCTTCTGTTGGATCCCTACTTCCTTATCCAGAAATTCCATGAGCAGGTCTAAGCGGTTCCTCGAAGGTGTATCTTCACTTCCATCATGGACAGCCAAAGAACTACGCTGCCATGTCAAAAGAATCTCTTCTGGTAGACTTGACTCAACTAATGGATAAAGCCATGTGGCAGGATCAGCTTTTTCAAGATTAAGTGTTTTCAGTGCTCGTAAGTGTGATTCTAGCTTAATATGTAACATTTGAAAAGGGATCTTGTCATTTGAATTCACATTGGAAATGACTAACTTTAATAATTCTCTAATGTAAACTTGAAGTAGTAAATCTTCATTCCCGTATCTTCGTTTAAGAGCTTCAATTACCTTAGGATAGTTTTCATTTGACTGGGGATAGCTACTTGCTATCTCATGTGCATCGGTTCCAGGTAAAAGTGACTGAAGTAAATACTGAAACTTATCACTGACGGGCAAAGAACTATCTTGGTCAATTTTTTCAAATTGAGCCCAATATCCTAACCAATCCTTGAACTCTCCTGAAAATTTCTTCAACTCGATCTTGGGTAATCGAAATCCTCTTGCTCCACCTTCAGATCCAAATGTAATACTGGATGGGGGCAATACGACTGGTACCAAAGATTCTATGATTTCTTCAGCTTTAAAACAAGTTGTCATTATTTGCTGTCTCATTTCTATAATAGCTTCATATTCCGTGTCTTGATCCGTTTCGTCAACTCCATCATCCACCATCTGACCTAAAATCTTCTGGTCTAACTCTGCTAAGTTAATTTGTTCCTCATTCAGTGTCTTCAGTACAAATTGAATCCTTTCCTTCGAAATTGGTTCCACTTGGAACAGTCTGTTTAACTCAGCTATCCTCTTTTTAGCTCCATTCCGAACTGGTCGTCTGGCTCTCTGAAGGGCATCCATGGTAGATACGTTTCAAAATTTCGGGGTCACCAAATATTCTTTTAGAAATACAGAGTTTAACCAACCACAATATTTCTTTCTACAAGCTTATATTTACGAAATGGATACAAGACTGAAGCTTAATTTTTATTGACAGTTTTTGACATACGTATACTTACTCGATAATTTTACAGATAGCTAATTGTTAATGAAGAAATAATGGGACAATCGGAATTTGTTACATTCTCCCCTTAATTTCCCGACACATGCACTCTGCAAATCAAATCTAATCTGAGCAGAACTGCTGTTAATGTTCCATCATTGAACCACCCCATTCGCCATGGTCCTCACCGCTATTACTTGTGAGATGGGTCGTATCGCTTTTGTGTGGACTTATGCGAAGTGCAATTCATATCCATTACCATACATGTCCGCTATACTAGACCGATTGTAGGAGACCTCGTTGGATATTAAAAGTGCTTATTGGTAAGTCCCCGTTACGGAAAAATCTAGAAATTCTTTAATATGCACTGTTTCCGGAAGAGGTCTTTACCGTTTCAGAGGAATGCCATTCGGATTGCACAATGCCCCCGCAACATGGTCGAGACTCATCGATCGTGATAGGGCCAGTATTAGAGCCGTATGTGTTCGTATATTTAGATGATGTCATCGTCGCGACACCAACTTTTCAGAAGCCCCTTGAAGTTTGTCAAAAAGTATTAACCAGGGCGAGGACAGCTAATGGGATAGCTAATAATAAGAAACCGCCCAGTAATTTGGGAGTTACCCGGCAACTACTTTACTAACTTAACACAGTAAAATCACCCCAAAAAAGGTTTCATGTTCATCAAACAACACAGCAAGGCCGCTTTGCAGGGGAGGGCTGCCGTAAGAGCACCAGCTCAAAAAGTAGACTGCATCCCCCTCTAGAAGCGCTCCTAATCGATAGCGTAAGGGGGTCCTTAAGCAGGTCACGAGTTTGTTTGGAGGGACGGAGGGGAACAAAGTTGGCTTTTTCGACGTCTCTCCGACTTAACCCATCGTGGCACGAAAACAACACGGTCTAGGAAAAAACTTACAATTGCCCAAATGTAGCCGAAAACGTCTCCTATCGAACGAAAATTGGACGAAAAACAAAGTTAGACGATGCTCTCGGAAATGAGCAGCGCCTCGAGTCCGGTACTGTTTAAGTAAAAAACGCCCCCGACAAAGTAGGGGTGGTGTTCCTGAACAAAGGAAACCGCCCCACGTTCGACAAAGGAGACAAGAACTCCAACATCCACGTCACTTGCACCAACGAAAAAGGGGAACTCGACAAGCGGGATTGGAAGGTCAAGGAGAAGGAGACAATCAACGACCATAAATACATCACCTGGAGACTGGAGACCCGCGGGACACTAAGGAAACCCGAGACCAACCAGACGAGCGCCGAGCCCAGCTGGATGAGAGGAAGCTGAGGGGTATCCTAGGGGGGGGGGCGTATAAGGGTATTGACCTGGAAGCTAGGGCGGAAAGCGAGAGTGGTCGGTACCAAGGCAGGAAGGAGCTGAAGACGTTTCGATGGGACGTCCACAACGCCTTCAATACGATTCCCACAACACATACCATCGTACAGAAACTCACACGGGTGCCATTGGAAGATTTTTGCACAGATTTATTGACGGGATTGGTGTACAATTTTGAGATTAATAGAGGCGTGCTGCAAGGATCGGTTCTGGGGAACGTGGCCTACGATGCAGTGCTGAAGCCCAAAGCGAATGCGGATGACGTCACGGTGATGATAACTGATAGAAGCGTCAACGAGTCGGACGGCGAGCATGGATGAAGAATCATGGCCTCCGATTAGTGGGGGCGGCACTGTTGCCGCCCGGAAGCCTACATCTCCTAGAACCTAGCAGAGCAAGGTCAGCAGAACACAATCAAACATATTGCATAATTAGGTGCTAATTAGGTGCTAAATAAGTGCCCTATTCCCAAATTAAATGCTCCTTTTTTTTTAAATTAATACATGTTCTGCCAGGTGCATATTTTGCTACCCTACGCACCTCTGTACGATGAAAAAAAAAATAGATTTTTCATCTCCTTGAGAAAGAGGTGGTTTTTTTTCAGAAATCGTGAGATCTTGGAAACGGTTCAACTTTACGGGCCCAAAAAATTATCTTCTTTTTTGTCATAAAACAAGCTATGTTTCCTCCAAATTTCAAACTCCTACGACATTTTTTCGCAAAAATAAGAACAAAAAAAAAACAGTTTTTCCGGTTTTTCTAGGAAATTTGGAGGATATTATGTGAAAATAGTGGATATACAAAACTTGCTCATTTTTTTAATCTCTATAACTTTTATATTTAACATTTTCGTCTAAAATTAATAGTTTTGCCACAATTTACAAAACATCACTTTCCACCCCTTTCAAGCCCCGGGATGCGTATTGGCATTCTGTACTATTATTCAGAGCAGCTCTGGTCTGATTCGCAGTATACTATGGCTTCACGTTATGCGCAATTTGATAATACATTATATACTGCGATTCAGAGCACCGATATGGTTTAGTGTTTGTTTTATTACTAAAATCAGCTAACCACTTGTCACACCAAACACTGTTAATATCTTCACCCGTTTTTTTCGCTTTAAACCCCTGTTCTACTAGTTCCAAATATTCGATTATTGAAAACGTATTCTCGTTCCACATTTGAACCAATACCTCTTTATAGATCATTCAAGTCTTGATTTTAGTGCAGTTTGAGAACCTTGATTACACACAAACAAACAACAAAAAATATACTTTTCTTGCAAAAGTAACAATAAAAACATACATCTTGTAAGTGTATGACAATCAAAAACCAATATTTTCTCCCGCGCGATGTGACATTCTTTCTGAATCACAGTATAAATTTGCTATATCGCAGTATAATTTGACTCAGGCCCACGCGCTTTATAAAGTGTAAACCATATCGGTGCTCTGAATCGCAGTATATAATGTATTATCAAATTGCTCTTAACGTGAAGCCATAGTATACTGCGAATCAGACCAGAGCTGCTCTGAATAATAGTACAGAATGCCAATACGCCCCCGGGATTACACCCGCGGAAAAATTCAGCTGTTTTAATTATTTTTTCCCAATTTCTATTCAATTCACCTGCCTGAAAAACCCGGTTTCGTCCGGTAACTAATTTTTTTTGTACAAAAATATTATATGGCCTGGACTAATACGAAAACGGGTGCTTTGTTACAAACGGAGGGAACTTGAACTTTTTGGAGAGTGGACGGAAAATAAACCGCATAATGTAAGTCCGGCCCGCGTTTCAGTGTTTGTGCGTGGATGACATTTCGTTAGTGACATTTTCGTTTTCCGGTGGATTGCGTAATTTGGTGCAATCGCTTGAATGATAAAGAAACGACCGAACCGCATCCATTTACGACGATTGAAATTTTTTCATCGACTTGCTTCCGTTAATGGATAAATATAATTAGTGCCTTTCCCAAATTTGTATTGTAAAATCTTTTTTTTCGCTTAAATGTTGCTGTATGCAGTGGTACGTGGTCAACTACACCACCCATACCAGTCCAGCTAGCTCGAACGAATTAAAATTGAAACTTTGAAAGTTTTATTAATTTCCCCTATTACAATATTTAAAGGACCATTTTAAAGCATGTTCGGTGTCGCTCTTTGTGTTACAAAAGCGCATAATAAGACTGATGTTTAACTTAAATTACGCACAAACTTGTAGGTACATACACTTTTAAAAAATTTAATATATTGACTCTACCATGTATATATATACTAAAATTGGTGTACTACATGCACACACATGTACATAACTTTAATAGGATAGGAAGCAGACACTCATATAACACAAGAACAAGAGACAAATTCATAATTCCAAAACTCAATCATTCATTCTACAAAAAATCTCCCTTTTACAACGCGACAAAACTCTGCAATATTCTACCCGAATCTATCACCAACTGCGACATAAAAGAATTCAAGGTAAAACAAGTTAAAAAGTAATCGTAAACGATTTACATAAAGCGCATTTCCACTTGCATTCATTTCCCATTTGTAAGATGCAACTTCTGTTAAAATCGTAAAAATCCCGCCACAAATATGAAAGATAGCGTTGCACATGGGCAATCCATTGTTGACGTGCTACTTCAATTTCAGTTTATGAGAAGAATTTCATTTCAATGCTTTTCTAAATAAGAAAGTTGGAACTGCGCATGCGAAAACCATTTCAATGCTTTTGTAAATAAGAAAGTTGGAACTGCGCATGCGCAAACCTAAATTTTAAAACTAATTTACTATAACTAACTAATAAACTAAGATTTTCCTTTGTTCCAAGCGCCTAAGTATCAAATTTCACTTAAATAGTTCCATAGATAAAAAGTTGGCACGGCGCATGCGCAAAATAAAATTTTGAAACTGGCGCTAGATTTTCCTTTATTCCAAGTGCCTATGTATCACATTTCATTTAAATTCTTCCATAAATAAAAAAGTTGGCACTGCGCATGCGCAAAACCAAATTTTGAAATTGGCGTTTGATTTTCCTTTATCCCAAGTGCCTATGTATCAAATTTCGTTTAAATTCTTCCATTAAATAAAAAAGTTGGCACTGCGCATGCGCAAAACCAAATTTTGAAATTGGCGTTTGATTTTCCTTTATTCGAAGTGCCTATGTATCAAATTTCGTTTAAATTCTTCCATAAATAAAAAAGTTGCCACTGCGCATGCGCAAAACCAAATTTTGAAATTGGCGTTTGATTTTCCTTTATTCCAAGTGCCTATGTATCAAATTTCGTTTAAATTCTTCCATAAATAAAAAAGTTGCCACTGCGCATGCGCAAAACCAAATTTTGAAACTGGCGTTTGATTTTCCTTTATTCCATGTATGTACAAATTTCATTCAAATACTTTTATAAGTAAAAAAGTTTGCAATTCGGTTTATAAATGGTCGAGATGCGAAAAGGGCACTGTGAATTTTGAATCGATTCGATTCAACTTTTGGCATTGCGTATTATATGGCTAAAGCTATGCCCATATTGAATTTCATGCAATTCAGTTCATAACTAACGGAGATGTAAAAGCGATCGAACATTTCTAAACAAAGTTATCGTTCACACGGACAGATAGATGGACAGACAGACAAAGGAACAGACGGACAGACCAACAGGCAGACGACAGATAGCAATGCAAAATTATAAACGATCTCTAGGATCGTTAATAAACGGCAAAAGTGTAAAATTATGGAACATGTAAAAAACGGTTTTTTGTTTTTTTTACAATAACTTTTTTTATAAGCGGCACAGAAAAAATTCTTTCCTTGGTACAAGACTCGACACCATAGCGAACCAAATAGCGAAAAAAGTAGAACAATAGCTCTTAAGATAAAGAACTAGTAGCGTCGCAAAACGAGCGGACGGACGGACGGACAAAGTGGCCACAATAGCGCATTTTTTTTTTTTTTTGTGGAAATGCGCTAAAAAAATTAAGGATATACTGCTCCAACATGCGTTTTACTCAGTACAGGATTTATTAATTTCTTTGTAAATAAACATTAAGCTGCTGCAACGCCACCTGGTTTTAAACATTTCGTTATTATGTGTATGTATTTATTTATTGACGTATCGATAATTGTTATTCAACAATTCAACGATTAAATGATTGATTGATTGATTGAATTAAAAGCTCATCTGTGTACCGTAAGGCGTTTTAACGATTTTATTAATCTCTTTGTAAATAAACATTAAGCTGCTGCAACGCCACCTGGTTTTAAACATTTCGTTATTATGTGTATGTATTTATTTATTGACGTATCGATAATTGTTATTCAACAATTCAACGATTAAATGATTGATTGATTGATTGAATTAAAAGCTCATCTGTGTACCGTAAGGAACGATTATGAAGTAAAGTTCTGGGTACATCTACACCTGTAGCACTTGTTATCAGCGAAAAACGCACGCGCGACAACAACAACGTCCTTATCGCGTCCGAGCAGATAGCACTCAAATGCACTTGACCAAATGTTTCTTGATTCATCATAACGCAATGACACAAATACTAAAATTACAAATTCTGATTAAATAAACCAATTTCGGGTCCACTTGTGGGAAGTGTTTCAGCGCAAAGTATGTTTATTACCGACACGAGACGTGAGGTATTCCAGGCCAGCAGCGTCGCGAGGCGAATTGAGTTACTGTCATGCGAGTACACAGGCGCAGTACCTATTTGTCCGCTGTCGAGTCAGAAACTCGCATTGTGTAATGGAAGGAAAGTTACCCTTACGCTACACATTGATCGTTTTGGAGGGGATTTGCTTGGAAGTAAGGATATGAAAGAGATGCTTTGAGTTGGGGCATGGACAACTCTGCTAGTAGCTGGGTCAACGCACTGCATCGTAAGGACACACAAGGCCTTGCCACAAGGAGCAAGGGGGTAGAGTATAATCCAGGTTATGTTCGTGATTATAATTTGTCTATTTGCCATTTTCTGAAATATACCAGCGTTTTAAATATAAACATTTAGTCCAATGTTCCCAAATCGTCATACATGGGCAAAAGTAATTTCAAATGGCGCAAATACATTTCGTTGTGATAGCAACTGTAGCGATAGCCACCCTCGCTGCCATCGCTTAGAAAGTTTCCCAGCGTGGCATCCGGCCGCGACTCCGCAATTACCATGGGCAAGCCGACGGCTGCGGCTACCAAACCTAAGCAACAGAATTAATCGCGAAAGTAATGGAGGTATCCGTTACCATAAGCCGCTCTGGAGCGGTACTCGTCATTTAACTCCTTTAATGTCGGAGGTTTTGCTTCAGTTTTGAGGAATTTCATATGTTTGACCAATGCCTCGTGATAGTAGCTGAGCATGTGCCCAAACCCCAGACTTTTGGTATCTAGATCGGCACCAACCACAAAAAAGAAATGCAAATCGTCGAGTGGACTTCCGTATACAGAAAACTGAAAATCCAACTACGCCAAACATTAAAACCATTGCAGAACTTGCGCACTTACCAAAATGGCATCTGTCGGATTTCCATTTTCATCGTAGTGAAACATAAAGTTAGTTGTCCAGGCATCGCCATGATTTAAGACGTTGAACGTTTTGGAAGGTTGAAGAACATCTTGTAGTTTACTCTTAATTTTCTCGTAGGATAACTTGCTGGCGTATTCTTGCAGGTCTAAGGAAATAAAGGTGAGCATCGATTACGGCATATGCGAGAAACCAACCTATGCTCTTCTCGCAAACCTCAAGAAAGCTAGGAATGCCAACCGAAAAAAAGCCATCCGTCACCTCCTTAGTACCATACAGTCCCACGTAAAACTCCTCGGACATCTTTGGATTCTGGAAAGCAAGGTTAGGTCCATTTCATTCTCATTAGCGCTCACCTTTTCGAATACCGCCACCGATGCTGCGTGAAAATAAGCCAGCTTGTCAACGAGGAGCAGAGAATGTCGCAAGTTAAGACCGGCTATGCGAGCTGGCATTTTATAGTCCACGAATGTCATGTCTTCCAAAATTAAAATAGGCACTGGGGTGGATGATACATGGTAGGATTTGGGCGCAACCTTTTGGTGATAGTCTGCAAGAACACCATGAGGGATCTATCAATCTTCCTTTGAAGAAGTTACCTAAATTGTGCATGGCAGGAAGAACATCCCCATACACTCCTATTTCACTGTCAAAGCCCTTCGTTGCGGTTATCACGCTGGCCGCCTCTTCATCTTCGGGAAAAATCTTTGCTATTACGGGATACTCCCCTTCTCCTCTGTAACGGATGTCAGAGCGACTGACAAACATAAAAAAATTCACTTACCCGCCCTTCTTTGCGTAGGTAATTTTGATTCGTAGCAATAGACTGGTAAAATTATCACCCACCTCGCCGACACTCGACGTGCGAAAATTTAGAATTTTTAAGGCGTCATCCTTGAAATGGTCTCTCAAGACGTTTTCAAGGAAGGACTTCGTGATAAATTGTGGTGCGGTTGACATGACGAGCGGAGCAGTCGTAAAGTGTGGCTGATATGAAATATTGCTCCTTTAAATATCCCATCGGATACCTGCAGCTCGATAATTGTTTACATGTAACGCATAGTTAATGTCTAATGTCTAACGCGTATTTAACGTTAACGATGCCGCTTTTAATTGCATCGTCAATCTTTCGCCTTTATTCCGCAAAAGGTGTACCTCAAGGGCACGCTCAGCCCGTTTAAGAGTGCAGGACCGGTCGGGATATTACCTGGAGCCGCTGCTCTTACACTTGTTGCACCTCTCTGGCTTTAGGGTATATCCCCGAAAGCTGGAGGAAAGTAGTGTACTTACCTAAACAGGGTCGTGCTAAATATGACTTTGCGAGGGATTACAGGCCCATCAACCTAGCATCGTTTTTTTCTAAAAAACGGTGGAGAAGCTGGTTATAGACCACTAGATCCGTTCCAACATGCTTACAGGGCTGGTATGTCCACGGAGATGGCTCTACACAGCCTGTTGTGCAGGCTGGAAAAGGGAACGTCTTCCGGGGGGGGAGGGGGGTTGTAGACTACGTTGATTCAATTAGTGAGGCTGCTGAAAGCCTTGGTATTGATGGGTCAATCGTAAGATGAATCTGAGTCATGCTCATTATATCCTCAATTGGAATGACGGAGATGAGCTCATCGATCAGGGTGGGGTGTTGCCTCCATCACTGTGGTGCCTGGTACTAGACGGGCTCCTCCGCACCCTGAACGAAGGGGGGGGGGTATACACAGGGTTACGTGGAAGATCTCGCGATCGTCATAACTGGGGAGCTTCCACACACAGTGAAAGACTCTTGAACAGGTGGACAGGTGGTGCAGTAGCCATGGTCTTTCCGTTAACCCGGAAAAGACCGAGGTTGCTCCATTCACGAATAGAAGGAGAGCGGACCTTGATGGGCTCGCTTTTCGAGGACGTTAACTGAGTCTGACCAGATCAGTGAAAACTGATGTCAAGTTGTCCCCGCCCACGTGAAATAATTTGACAAAAATATCTCGACAGTTGGTGCTACGTGAGTGCTCTTTAGTGCTCGAAGCTTATCGTTAGTGCTGCTATATGACAAAAATAAAAATAGCGGGGCGGGGCCAACTTCACAACTTCACGCCCATACATTTTTAATTAGATGAAACCGCATGTGATTGTTAGTGCTAGGGTAGTGCTGTTTTGTGCTCAAAAATTGCGATTCCAGCATTTCATCTTTCCAAGAAAAACGAAAAAAAACTAAAGTATTGTGTGAAGTTGGCCCCACGCATGACTGGTTTTTAAAAAAAAAACTAATACGATCGTTAGTGTTACGTTAGTGAAATTTTGTGCTCGAATATTGCGAGTCCTTTCCATAAAATATTGTGTGAAGTTGGCCCCACCCATGACTCATTAAAAAATAATAATACGATCGTTAGTGCTACGTTAGTGCTATTTTGTGCTCGAATATTGCGAGTCCTTCCCAAGAAAAACAAAAAAAAAACTAAAATATTTTGTGAAGTTGGCCCCACCCATGACTCATTAAAAAATAATAATACGATCGTTAGTGCTACGTTAGTGCTATTTTGTGCTCGAATATTGCGAGTCCTTCCCAAGAAAAACAAAAAAAAAACTAAAATATTTTGTGAAGTTGGCCCCACCCATGACTCATTTTTTTTTTTTAAACCAATACGATCGTTAGAGCTACGTTAGTGCTGTTTTGTGCTCACAGATTGCGATTTCAACGTTTTTCGTTTCCGAGAAAAACAAACAAAATACTAAAATATTGTATGAAGTAGGCCCCACCCATGAGTCATTAAAAAAAACTAATACGATCGTTAGTGCTACCTTAGTGCTGTTTTGTGCTCGAATGTTGCAAGTCCTTTCCAAGAAAAACAAAAAAAACTAAAATATTGTGTGAAGTTGGCCTCACCCATGACTCGTTTTTAAAAAAAAACTAATACAATCGTTAGTGCTACGTTAGTGCTCCTTTGTCCTCGAATATTGCGAGTCCTTTCCAAGAAAAACAAAAAACACTCAAATATTTTGTGAAGTTTGCCCCACCCATGACTCATTTTTTTAAAAAAACCAATATGATCGTTAGTGCTACTTTAGTGCTGTTTTGTGCTCAAACATTGCAATTTCAACGTTTTTCGTTTCCGAGAAAAACAAAAAAAATACTAAAATATTGTATGAAGTTGGCCCCACCCATGACTCATTAAAAAAAAACTAATACGATCGTTAGTGCTACGTTAGTGCGGTTTTGTGCTCGAATATTGCGAGTCCTTTTCAAGAAAAACAAAAAAAAATTAAAATATTGTGTGAAGTTGGCTCCACCCATGACTCGTTTAAAAAAAAAAAACTAATACGATCGTTAGTGCTACGTTAGTGCGCTTTTGTGCTCGAATATTGCGAGTCCTTTTCAAGAAAAACAAAAAAACAAAAATATTGTGTGAAGTTGGCCCCACCCATGACTCACCAGGTACTCGTTTTTAAAAAAACTAGTACGATCGTTAGTGCTATTTTGTGCTCGAATATTACGAGTCTTTTCCAAGAAAAACAAGAAAAATACTAAAATATTGTGTGAAGTTGACTAAATTTATGACTGGCTTTTTTAAAAAAACACACACAATCAGCTGCGTCGAGTCACATTATAATTCTGGGTTGTAATTATTCTTTATGAACAATAATTTAGACATACATAGTAATCCATGGCAGATAATTATTGTTGCAGTTACGTCATGATAAATGTAATTCTAAAACTAGAACTTTCTCAAAATAAACCATATAAAATATTAGAAACATTGAAAGACTTTATCTATCGATCTTGATTGAGCAAATATTAGTAATATGGTCGTTTATCAGCTTTTTTAACCAAAGTCAATAAATAGGTGTAAGGGGCAGGGTGGACATGGATATTCCAAATTTTTATCCATATCCACCCATACATTCCTAGATAATGTAAACCATAGAATGGGGGCGACATATACGCATCTAAGATCTAAAGGCAAACAAAACCTTGTTCCTTATCATTTTTAAAGTTTAGAACAGAAATCTGATGTTTTATATTACCAAATATTAATGGATCAATGACACTTATTCAAAAAGTGGAAGTCTAAGTAGTCCAACATTTTCGAGATATTCATAATTTAGTTGTAACATCGCCGGTAGATCTGTCTCGTCTAGACGTTACTATATTACTATGTTTCTATATTACTATATAAATGCCTTGGCGGTACCGGTACAAATTCAACGGTGAAAAGAAAGGAGGGTTTTAGTGGGTATGCCTTGGAGACTCCCACACTACCACTCAGGTGTCCATAAAGGATTTTTCTCCTCCCGTGTACAAAAAAATTACTTTATTAGTATATTCCATTCCTATATTACTATTTTACTATATTACTATCTTACTATATTACTATGTTTCTATATTATTATGTTACTATATTGTTATATTATTATATTACCATATTACCATATTAATATATTACTATATTACTATCTTACTATGTTACTATATTACTATATTAAAAACGAGTCATGGGTGGAGCCAACTTCACACGATACTTCAGTTTTTTTTTTCGTTTTTCTTGGAAAGATGAAATACTGGAATCGCAATTTTTGAGCACAAAACAGCACTAACCTAGCACTAAAAATCACGTGTGGTTTCATCTAATTAAAAATGTATGGGCGGAGCTAACTCCACATCTTGACTTTTCTGGCATTTAACAGCTCTAACGTAGCACTAACGCCGTGTGCGTTCGTTATTTCTATAAATAAAAGTTGAGTGTGTAGTTGGCCCCGAGCCGATATTTTTATTTTTCTCATATTATATAGCAGAACTAACGATAAGCTTCGAGCGCTAAAGAGAACTAACGTACTTAGTACTAACTGTCGACACATTTTTGTCAAATTATTTCATGTGGGCGGGGCCAACTTCACATGGGCTTCAGTGAAATATCTGGGAGTCATCATTGACTCCCGCCTGACCTGGAAAGAGTAGACTGCGCCAATAAGCAGAAAGGCCACTGTATGTCTATGGGTATGTGGAAGGGCTTTTGGTTGTACATGGGGCTTGAACCCTCGACTGGTATATTGGCTTTGCATTGTAGTGATAAGGCCAATAATACTGTATGGTACACTTGTATGGTGGCCTGCCATCCCCAGGGCAACCTACAGGAAGCAGCTAGGATAGGTCCAGCGACTCGCCTGTCTGGGAGTCACTGGAGTGGAGCCATGAAAACCACGCCAACTTTGACCATGGAGGCACTTCTGAGGTTTGGGACGAGTGGAAGGATCGAAGTAGCCTTGAGCACGTGCAGATCAGGGAAGAAACCCTCAGATCCGATCCCCTCCTCGCAAGAAGAGATGTGATCCGGGCCTTTACACTTGTTGTGGAGGCAGAGGCTCGAAAGGCATACGGATAGGGAGCAATGGCTGAACTCGGATTGCCCGTTCCTCAAACCTGAGGGGCTCGTGTGGTTTACAGACGGGTCTCTAACAATGGGCCTCTGGTATGCCTAAGTGTTGCCCGGTAGGGCTCTCCTGCGAATAGAATAGACCTCAAGGGCGAATCATCAAAATGGGCCGCTATAGCTCGCCCTGTGCCGCCCCACAAGTCCAACACAGACGAACCTGATAGTTTGTGGGACCGTCCCACATTCGCTCTCACCAGAAAACCTAATGCGAGATTATGCAAGATTATACAGAAGAACCTTTTTCGAATAATTGGCTACCAAGTACCATGCGTAGTCGGAAATTATGGGAAATTTGTAATTTAATATACGATTATAAAGTTATTCGCATTAAACACGTTCAATGTAATTAATCTTTCCTTGATGAGCTAACTTGGCAATTATAAAATTACATTCATTACAAATATTCAATTCTTTGAGATCGCCTCCATTGAAAACGTCCGTGGTTTTAAAAACTGATTCTTTCAATTGTGATCGAATTATTCTTCCTATACTATGGTGAGAGTAAGCTAAGTTGCAAAGGTTGTCTTCTAACAATCACCCCCGGTTTTTACAATCTTGCTTTTAAGGTTTGT